AGAGGTAGGACACCCTGGACAGGCACCAATCTCACACAGGGCTAATTAGAAAAATACATATAAAATATAACTTGCAGTTTGTGTCACCTACCAAAATATCACTGACTAAGCAATCCTTAACTATGAAAATCGTCTTCCTAAGATACTGAGACTCCGTACAATGCACTAATCTGCCCATCATGTGTTGTAATTACCCATTAATTGAAGGTAAATGGAGTCGTTCTTCTACTCTACTCAAGTACTCAAAGTGCTTTATGTAACATGTGTTATTCACCCAGGTTTTTCTGTAACATTTACAGTTCAGTGGATGCATCAGAGAACCATTTGAGGTTCAGTATCTTGCCCAAAGACACTTTGGCACGCAGACTGGAGCAGCCAGGGATCAAACCACTAAGCTTCTGATTAGTCAATGGCCTCCTATACCTACTGAGCTACAGCCATCCTACTGTCTGGACGGTCAGATTGTTATGGCGCTATTTAACCTCTAGCCATGATGTATCTTAACCAACAAAGTAGCATGTGCAATAGATTCTAGACATGCTCGCCTTGTTACAGTACAACAATAATGACTCTCACTCTATGTTTTTCCACTTTTAACGGCTTAGTCTTTTCAAACTACTTCAGTCTAAAATATAAATATCAAAAATTAAATATAATTTGTTTTATTTATTGTCTTTATTAGGCCCTGAATGGGTTAATGATTAGCAGCAATATTATTTTTCCTACATTTAATTTTTTTTTGTTTTTTAACAAAAACTCAAACTAACAAAGAAATTGCCACCTTCCCACAAACAGCTGTAACAATATTACACAGTAATCTTTTTTTCCACTTTAAATGACTCTGTCTTTCAAAACTACTTCAGCCTGAAATATAAATATCAAATATTAATCATAGTTTTTTGCTTTTAACACCTTAAAGAAGAAGGACTCCAGCTGAGGTGGTGCAGAGGCCACATGGTGCTGCCAGTTCTTCTCTCTCTGTCTCAGCAAGTCACACTGCCCTCACAATTGCTGGTTGGAGGGGCTTGCAGCTGATTTGAATTGATACGTTTTTGACCTGTAAACCATCCAAAATGAGCATGCCTACATAAGCCTGCAGTTCCTCTGTGTCCACATAAGCCGCTGAGCGTGGTGCAGGTTTGTCATGGCCACAATTTGCTCCAGGATTTGGGGTCCTGGAATCAAACCTGTGGCTGCTGGGAATGTCGCAGAGTGCTGCAGTCTTTGCGACCAAAATATTGTAACCCCCATGGAAAAGTCCATCCTGTCACTGGAGTTGGACCAGCTGGTCTGTTTCTTCCTCTGAGGCGGACATGGAGGAAGCCTCACACTCGCATCTTCACACTCATAGTGCACAAAGGTGAAGATTACACACATGCACACCCATGTGCACACACTCACACACCATTATTCTACACTAATGGCAGCACACACTTGCCATTTTATTTCAGTAGCACCCTTGCAAAAAACAGAAAAAAGTTTGAAATTTTGCTGCATGCTTTGAATGGTAGAAAGTAGCGCCACCTGGTGGACAAATATAAAAATAAAGATTTTTTTTCCAATTATTTACACAGTTACTTGTACTTCAGACACAATGACTGCAACATGTAACTGATGCACCACCCCCCTGAACCAATTCTGCTAAACCACAGGGACAATTCCTGCTTTACACTCAAATTGCAGTTTTAAAACACGCTTTTGTCAAAACACTACACACAAGCCTCTGCAATTGGCAGAATTTCCATGAAGAAAACCTCTTGTTTTCGCAAGAAAAACTCTCATTCAAAGTTGTAAAGTCAGTTGCCTTATTTTGCATGCTAACTCATCACATTGCTCGACACCTTTCACACATAATTGCAATTAAGAAATCAGAGCTTTATAAAAGGGCAACAGGTTAGCTCTTCTGTTTTGGAGCAATGGATGGCAATGTTGGAAAAAGAGGCAGAGCCAGAGGAGAGTAAGAGCAGGAGGATGGGGAGGATGAAGATGACGAAGACCAAAGAAAGTAATCTCTGAGGAGAGATACATACACAGTAGTGTTTTGTAACCCAACTCTTTAGCAACAGTGTGGTTGATGTCTTTGAGTACTACGAGCAGGAGCTACAGCATCCACCAGTATCCAGTTTAGTTCTTGTGCTCAAATGATGTGGTATGTGATGTCCTAAACAGCCACAACCTATCTAGAAAGGCTATAAAGCAACCATAATGCCTGCAAGTAAACTCCATATGAGGCTGTATAAAAAGAAGCAGTCACTTTTTTGTGGCCCTGAGTACAAGAAAAAGAGTTACATGTGCCTATCTATAGTTTCATTGCTTGCTACAGACGTTTTATAGGCATCTATTAAGACCTGCCCCTGTGTCACTTTATTCTGAACGACAAACTCAGTCAGGGCTGCTTCCAGATGTTCTTCTCTGCAAGCACAGCAGAGGAAGGTTATAAAGTATGACAATTTCAAGGGACCTGTAGCCATTTCCTATCAAGGCAGCTCACATCTGAGTTGTTGGGTCTGGTATGAAAGTTTTGCATTCACAGTTATATTTGTAAGTTTGGGTTTCTGTTTAGGTTTCATTTTCTCCAGTTTATCCAGGTCGCAGGGGCAGCATTGTTTTCTGGTCATACTGGTGACAATTTAAACTGAAAACTTCCAACATGAATTACTCACTACATAAAACTTGTCACTGATTTTCAGTTCAGTTCATGTGTAATTTGGCTTACCTCTGCCTTTTCTCTCTGTTTCCTTTCCTTAAGAATGACTTCACCCTACCATTGCAAACATTTCGGAAGGTTTTTGTGAACAGTTCATGGATAAACTGTAAGGTCCTGTGTTAGGGTTTTGCTTGATATGTTTTTCTTAAGGAAATAACTTTCAAATACTGTTCGTCTACTCTAGATATTTTTATGAAAATATTCAAATTTTGCCTGACATGCCAGGACTCTGTTGACTCTGATGATCTTAACATGAAGGCTGAATCACTTTGACAGAGAAGTTAAAGTGTGTTCTATGCAAAGTTTTGAAGTTCTGTGGTGAAATCATGAATGTGTACGTGCATGCAGCTTTAGCCTGTAACCCAATGTGTATTTTGCCTTTATAGGTTAATCAGCCTGAACACTATAGTCTCTGCATGGTTTGGACCCGTGTTTTTACACTTGCTGTGTAAAAACATGGGTCTAATATCATTGTCACTTAGTTTTAGCTTTTACTTTCACTTGCTGGTTAGTTTCTGGCACAGAAACCCTGGAAGGACCACTGCACAGAGGATAGAAAAGAGGATAGCAACCAAACTTATATCATATATCATTTCTTATTATTATTTTACTAGTTTTTGAACACAGCTCATATTTGTGGTTGCTTTGCTTTGGTTTTGGTTTTGGTATCATTTAAAGTACTTCATTTTGTGTTTTGTGTCTCTTAATAGACCTTTGTTGGCTTTAAAAGAATAGAATAGATTAGATTAGATTGGATTAGAATAGAATAGAATAGAATAATCCTTTAATTGTCCCATAAGGGGAAATTTGGTTGTAACAGCAGCAAGAAAAACACACAGAACAGAAACAGAAACAAATGTTTATCTATTTACATCATGGACGATAGTTACCAAAAACAGAGTACTGTACAGTAATTAAAATTAAATTAAATACAGATAATAGCCACAGTAGGAGTTTGCAAAGGTCCTACTAACTTTTGCATCCTCAGTTCTGACTCTGCTATTCCTGAGATGCCTTCACTGCCCCCACAAACCATAATAGTACAAAGACCTGCCAAAGTCATACTGACGACTGGGATAAATGACTTTACCAGCACTTCCAACTCTTTTCCAAGTGTTTGTGGCTTAGAAATGTGCTGACTCTTCTTAGTTTTAGTTTACACATTTTATGCACTTCAGCGCGACTGCTAAATGTGTTTAAAACGCTTCCTGGTTTTCATTCTTTGATGAACGATGACATCATT